CGAGTAAGGATGAACTGTTGACACAATTTATTTGTTGTGAAGTAAATTTATTTAAGGATTCTGGTTATCATGAGATAATCAAGAATAAAAGATATTATTGTCCACAAATATATGTCGTATTTACTAAGTAAATATTTATTTCCTGATCCTTTGAAAGATGGTATACTTGCAAAAGGTGAAAATTCCTCTTAAGCTATTATAGGATAAACTTCCATATGATGAATTATGCGTACCTTTTATTCTAAGTCAGTTAAAAAAATACTCAGTTATGTATATTCTGTTTCTTTCTCTATTTTCTCTGTAAACTGTTTTCTCAGTTTGTCGTATTTTTTTCTCACTTCTTACTCTTTTCTCTAAACTCTTTAATCAATGTATTACGCCAGGCGATACTTTCAAGGATTTGGGGCTTGCTAAGTTCTTACTTAGAATGACTTAAAAAAAATGCCACATGACATTTGCAATTGAGAAAGCAAAATCCCAAGCTGATTATGATACGTAGAAAAGGTATAGATGCAAAATCAGTAACTATATAATGTACAATATTTAATTAAGCTTAATAATCTACACTTATACTCTTCTTCTTAAACACTTTTTGGAATAAAAGGCAGAAAATATGACACAATAGTAAGAGATTCACTTTCTTTGGTCCAGTAAAAGTAGGAAAAAATATATAAAGTATTAGGTCATTAGCATAAAGATTCGTGTTTTATATGAACGACACTCAAACATATCAGCTAATTTGCAACGAGCTATTGAAAAACAATACAAAATGGACATTTGATTTAAGATTATATAACTCACAATGAAGCTACACGTTAAATATACATTAATTACACTCTCGTTATCCAGTGCAAGAAATCACATGCAGACAAAGAAATAAAGTTAATAGAACAATGCTGCTCTTCTGGAATCCCTGTCTAAATACCACACGTTTTGAATCGTATCCTACTATAATTATATCATTAGTATTGTTCCTCTGTTTCTATAGTACTATTTTCTCGTTATTATATTATCATCATTAGTGTATTGTACAACCTTGTCGAGTAAGGGCAAACTAGAGTCCATTTTTTATGTTTTATTTATTTATTTATTTATTTATTTTCCCCATCTCTAATTTCATACATCGATGCTTCTGGAGTATATGCCTCATTCTTTAAGTCTTGGAAGAAAAAATATCCCTAACGATTTTTTTTTTTTTTTTTTTTTTTTTGGGGGGGGGGGGTATTGGAGGTAAATCGTATCTGCATGTTTATTTCTTCTTCTTTATAACGACAGGTGCAGTGTGTATGTGTGAGTTGTGGACGGGGAATTGTAGAGATATGTAATGTAAAAGAAATAACAGGGTTCGATATTAACACAGGGAGAATTATGACTTGCTGTTTCACTATTACACAGATGCTATTATATAACACTAAGCGAACAGTAATAACCGTACTTTCACCATCAGTACATGCTAGCTGGATCGCCTTCATAAACGCCAGAATTTGCTAACGGAAAATACCGATTTAAAAATAAAACAGCGAACTTCAACCCCTAACCTACAACAGAAAATAAGTTTTAAAAATCAAAATATTCCATATCGATTTTGAATTGTGACAAACAATAAGTGGACTTTTAATGATAGCCTAATGACTTATAGCAACAAGTACAAACAATAACAATAATAACAATGATAACAATGACAATATATATGTGCCATGATTTCATAGTTGCAACACGAATGACGTTAACATTCAGAAACAGTATCGAAAATCTAGTTAAACTGACACACAAAGGCTAGATAGAACCGAAAAGAAAGATGCAAATACTGCACAAACCAAATGAATAAAACAATGGAAAAATACGAAAACATCTTAAGAACAGTAAAATTAATAAAATGATAATGACGACAATGATGAAAATAATAGTAATAATGATAATAATAATAATAATAATAATAATAATAATAATAGTAGTAGTAGTAGTAGTAGTAGTAGTAGTAATAATAATAATAATAACAACAACAACAACAACAACTACATCAACATCAACTACAACAAAAACAACAATGATTTAGCAGGTGAATGTACTATACATTTTCCCGCCAAAAATGAGGAACGAAGAAGATGCCCGAAAGAACGCGGAAATCTGAATACATTCAAGAGGATGAGATCCACAGGGAAATCTGCACTCGGGGTAATACGTGAGGGAACTACATCGATTTTTTTAATCATCATTATTATTTCGAGAATACATTTGTTGTGGGAGAATATTTCTGTAGATGGGGAAGCAGCATTGCATAAAAATATATATTACCACATGACATTTGCAATAGAGAAAGCAAAATCTCAAGCTGATTATGATATATAGAAAAAAGTATAGATGCAAAATCAGTAACTATATAATATACAATATTTAATTAAGCTAGAATATCGAACCGTTAATCTCATCTTCACTATGGAATAATTTTCACTTACACTCTTCTTCTTAAACACATTAGGGGATAAAAAGCATAAAATATGACGCATCAGTAAGAGTTTCACTTTCTTTGGTCCAGTGAAAGTAAGAAAAAAATATAAAATATTAGGTCATTAACATAAAGATTCGTGTTTTATATGAACGGCACTCAAACATATCAGCTAATTTACAACGAGCTATTGAAAAACAATACAAAATGGACATTTGATTTAAGATTATATAACTCACAATGAAGCTACACGTTAAATATACATTAATTACACTCTCGTTATCCAGTGCAAGAAATCACATGCAGACAAAGAAATAAAGTTAATAGAACAATGCTGCTCTTCTGGAATCCCTGTCTAAATACCACACGTTTTGAATCGTATCCTACTATAATTATATCATTAGTATTGTTCCTTTGTTTCTATAGTACTATCTTCTCGTTATTATATTATCATCATTAGTGTATTGTACAACCTTGTCGAGTAAGGGCAAACTGGAGTCCATTTTTTATGTTTTATTTATTTATTTATTTATTTATTTTCCCCATCTCTAATTTCATACATCGATGCTTCTGGAGTATATGCCTCATTCTTTAAGTCTTGGAAGAAAAAATATCCCTAACGATTTTTTTTTTTTTTTTTTTTTTTTTTGGGGGGGGGGGGTATTGGAGGTAAATCGTATCTGCATGTTTATTTCTTCTTCTTTATAACGACAGGTGCAGTGTGTATGTGTGAGTTGTGGACGGGGAATTGTAGAGATATGTAATGTAAAAGAAATAACAGGGTTCGATATTAACACAGGGAGAATTATGACTTGCTGTTTCACTATTACACAGATGCTATTATATAACACTAAGCGAACAGTAATAACCGTACTTTCACCATCAGTACATGCTAGCTGGATCGCCTTCATGAACGCCAGACTTTGCTAACGGAAAATACCGATTTAAAAATAAAACAGCGAACTTAAGCCCCTAACCTACAACAGAAAATAAGTTTTAAAAATCAAAATATTCCATACCGATTTTGAATTGTGACAAAAAATAAGTGGACTTTTAATGATAGCCTAATGACTTATAGCAACAAGTACAAACAATAACAATAATAACAATAATAGCAATGACAATATATATGTGCCATGATTTCATAGTTGCAACACGAATGACGTTAACATTCAGAAACAGTATCGAAAATCTAGTTAAACTGACACACAAAGGCTAGATAGAACCGAAAAGAAAGATGCAAATACTGCACAAACCAAATGAATAAAACAATGGAAAAATACGAAAACATCTTAAGAACAGTAAAATTAATAAAATGATAATGACGACAATGATGAAAATAATAGTAATAATGATAATAATAATAATAATAATAATAATAATAGTAGTAGTAGTAGTAGTAGTAGTAGTAGTAATAATAATAATAACGACAACAACAACAACAACAACAACTACATCAACATCAACTACAACAAAAACAACAATGATTTAGCAGGTGAATGTACTATACATTTTCCCGCCAAAAATGAGGAACGAAGAAGATGCCCGAAAGAACGCGGAAATCTGAATACATTCAAGAGGATGAGATCCACAGGGAAATCTGCACTCGGGGTAATACGTGAGGGAGCTACATCGATTTTTTTTTTAATCATTATTATCATTTCGAGAATACATTTGTTGTGGGAGAATATTTCTGTAGATGGGGAAGCAGCATTGCAAATATAACAATTCTAATATACAAGGATATAACCCCGAAACCAGTCTAGTTACACTGAGTTTTGTGAAGGAATTTGGTCAAGAATATCAATTGCAAACTTCCTATTAGGAAATTGAAACAAAGAGAAAATAATTAAAGAGGTATATACGATGTCAGTTGTTTCTGTCTAGCTATTATATATCAGTATAAAATATTCAAAGAAAAATTCTAAAAAAAAAAATTAAGAGACATTTGGCGAGGACATAAAAGAATATCATTTGTTTTTTTAACGACAATACAGTTATGATTTTTTTTCACTCTACTTATTATATAAGAGAGAATTATGGGCATAAAAAGAAAAATATCGGGAGAAAAATGCAGAACAGAATTATACAGATAAAAAAATAGATTAAAAAAATATATATACATTTCAGTAACACTCATCCCTGACAAACATATAAAGAAAATGTCAGTATTAAGGAAATGTAACAAGCACATAACAGAAAGGATGGAAGGACTTGGTGAGTTCTAGGCTTTCACATAACATCCTTTTGATACACCACGGGAAATGAAGGAGTCATACCCCTCCCTCCCCTCCCTCCCCCCTCCTGTAACA